CTGTCTCTTATACACATCTAGATGTGTATAAGAGACAGGACATACAGAGGCCTTAAGAATAAATGAGCATGCTCTCACATCAGATAGCAGTATTCATGAGCACATACGACAATGTGAGGGCTTTAAGCATATCATTGAAATCAATAACATTTTCCGAAAAATGTAAATACTTCATCACTCAAGAGTCAAGCAAGCTTGATAATACTAAAATATTTTTCCGAGATCAACGGGGAAAACTGTTTGTGTCAATGGGCGTAGGTGCACCCCAATGTTTGCCTCTCGTTCCGCGTAGTAATTTCAATCTATCGCATTTCCTCGTGGGGATATACAACCGGACCCGTTTTCTCGTTGCGGATTGAAATTACCTCGCTCCGTGCACCGATAACTCCTTGGAAATTCTTTTCCAGGCAATATCAACATTCAGCAGAGGAACTCCCATAAACAGTCGTTAACAATTTTTCAGTGTGTGGCGGCGTTTAACAAATTCTCTGTTGTACTTATAGAGAAAACCCCACAACAATCACCACATCTGCTCATATACCATAGCTACAAACTCGACTTGCACCTAAATGCCCAAGAAGGTGCGTGGCGGACGTATGACGAGTCCTTTAGAGTGTTACGTCAGTCCATGAAATAAATGGGTTGATGATCTTAAATGGAAAGCTACCACATCCAAATCAATTTTCGTTTTCGTCGTCTCCGCTTCTGCTTCGATTTCAACAACGGCGTCCCATGTACATCATCCCCATGCCCCTAAAGTCACGTTTGTCAACCCAGCCGGGCTCCCCACCCAAAGCTACGATGCTTCAAATGACTCCCTAGCACAGTTTACACCCAATATATACTCACAACAAATGCACATTCAAGAACCTCAGTGTCAGCAACTCAAAGGAGCCACTCCCTACACTCGTTAACCCATACCAACTTAACGAATACTTGGAGGGCTACAATCCACAACGGAGAACTGAACTTGTCAAAGGTTTTCGGTTTGGATTCAACCTCGACAAATTACGCCCACCTCCAGGAGTGTCTCAAACAATAAAGTATCCGAGAATACCCCCGTGGTGATTCACAAGTATATTGCAAAGGGCCTAGAAAGGGGCCGCATTGCTGATCCATTTCCTACACCTCCATTCGACAGACTTGTTGTTTCTCCTCTGGGGGTCATTTCTAAGTCCTCACCGAGTTAATTTAGAGTAATTCAGGTAGCCAGCTTATGGCTAACACTTACATTAAAGACGCTTTCGCATCATCACTATTAATCCACAAGACTATCCTCTCGGGATTTTTCAATGGGACAGCTTTTTTTATTACGACAGTTTTTTGCCGATGGGAGCTAGCAGCTCTTTTCATGTTTTTGAAAACTTTAGTGCTGCACTTCACTGGATTATGGGAAATAAATTTGGGTTTTGGGCAATGTCTCACTTACTGGACGATTTCTTTTTCATCGGCGGCCTTAAAAAGCTCCTTTATTTGCGCTGATATACTAGCACGATTTATGTTTTTAAGCAAAGAGATCAACGTTTCCATTAATTTACAGAAAACGGTTTCACCGACTGAACCAAAATTACAATCTACAGAATCGAAGTTTACTCAGTTGTCATGCAATGTCCTTTGCCCTTTGAGAAGTTACAAAAAAATAGGAACATATTGACAAGATCGCCGGTGGACCATTACAAGGCCAACTCAGACAGCGTCGTAGGCTACGACACACAGCCAACGCGATTTGTTGTCGCGTCGGGTCTGTGTGAGTCAAACGCAGACGCGATGTTTTGCGTCGGAGGCATGTCTAATACTTCTCACAATGGCTTAAATCGCGTCGAGCTGCGTTGTACGACGCTGTCTGAGTCGGCTTTTAGAGAACTACAGTCTTTATAAATTATAGGCCTCCTCAATTTTGCCTGTGCGGTGGCAATCCAAGGTCGCGCCTTCGTCCGACGGCTTATAAACTTAAACTGCAAAATTTCAAACCACTTTCACCACATTAACCTTAATCACGAGGCCCAATTTGACATTGATATGTGGTTCACATTTCTTACATTGGTTAATGGGATCTCAGTCTCCCTCAACAACAAATAGCTGATGTCCCGACCAGATCGGGCTGTTTACTGATGCTTAAGGAACCATCAGTTGTGCAACAGTCCTCGGTAAAGAGTAGTTTGTATTTAATGGCCATTTCAACTCAGTCACCACCAAATCGCAGTCAAAGAACTTTTCCCGATCGTTTTGACACTCGAAAATTTTGGGGTAAACTTCTAGAAAATAGGAAGTTCTTTTTCGCTGTGACAACATGGCTATTGTTGCAGTTATCAAAAAGAAATCCTCAAAAGATCCCATAATAATGTGCCCACTTAGACTATTAGTACTATCGTCTCTTAAGCATAACATTATATTTCGTGCAGATCATATCCCGTGGAAACAAAATGTCATTACTGACCTCCTGTCTCGCTCACAATTTCAGCAAGACGTGTGGCCCCACTTGTTCAAGTGCAAGTTCCAGAAGAATTCTTGCATATTAAACGCCTTCAGCTCAGTAGTCGTCAACGGCGGCGGAACGTTTTGAAAGTGGGGGTGGGGGCACTTAATAAGGTCGAGTATGCGAGCGAAAAGAGCATCCAGGCTGGGGGTCCAGGGCTCGAAGCCTCCTGGAAGCTACGGATATTTTACGAAGTTTGGTGAATTTTATAAGTTATTTTATAGGAATCAAGCTACTGTAGTATGTTTTTCATATTTGTTGTAATTTCCAGTGGCGGATCCAGGAATTCGAAATAGAAGGACCCAGGGAGGGTACATTGACAGATAGAAGATCTGTACTACCTCAGCCCCAACCATGGTGGGGCTGAGATAAGAACATTTGTGATTATGGCACCTCTAGATGGCCGGAAATTGCACTTCCAGACATAAAATTTGAATATAATTATCATTATATCTCAATTTTTTTATTGAACAATTTAGGAGGGCGGGGGCGGGCCGTCTGGGTCCCCTTGAATCCGCCACTGGGTACTTCAGCAGATGGAGAATCTATACCACATCAGCCCCACCATGGTTGGGGCTGAAGCAAGAAAATTTGTGATATATGGCACCTCTAGATGGCTGGAAATTACACTCTTAGACTTAAAATTTGAATATACCTTATAATCTCCATTAAAAAAAATTGAACAATTTAGCCTCATTTTCCCCCGATGGATAAAAATTACCCTTCTATAAGCTAAGCTCGGAAATGATACTCCAACTGTGGCGAGTCCACAAAGTCGAAATAGAGGGGTTCCAGGGAGAGTCTTGCGTAAATAGAATGTCCACCCGCCTCAGCCCCACAACTGTTATTATGATTATGATTGTGGCACCTCTAGATGGTCGGAAATGGTACTCTCAGATTAAAAGCTGGATACATTTTTTTTTACTCCATACAGTTTTACAACCTATAACACATTAACTACAGTGTACTGTAAATTCTGTAGTTAACCTTCAGACAACTTTTTAAAAAATGGCCTAATTAAGTATCTTATTGTTTTCGTTAAATTAGAGTTTTAAATGTGGTTATATTACGCTGGTTTGAAGGTTTACTGTAAGCCAATCTGTTACACTTTAAACTATACATCTTCGTAAAATGTTTGTCACTGGTGCTGGGAACAGTATAAAAAGTGGGTGGGCAAATGGCCCCCTGCCCCCCCCCCCCGTCGTTGGTATGTCGTTGCTGTCTCCCTCTTCCCAAAATCACAGAAAATATATAAACGTACCTAGGTTAAATCTTTACTGCCTGGTTTGGGAATTAATAACACCTCTTCCGGGGATGTTGAACTGTGCAATTTTTGGTCACCTCTTCAAATCTGATTATATGCTCACGTTATTTCAACACAGATCTCAGCCATTGGTTACATTCACCGCACCCAAGGTTAAAACGATCCCACAAAATCATTTCTAGTGGCGTGCGCTAAAAAGTGTTCATGGTCCTGTGATACGAGATTCCCGATCACGAAAGAGGTAACATACTAAACGCGGTGGCACACATGGAACCTTTCCGTGCAACTTTTACTTAAAGCAATCTTTACAACCACCTTCTATGCTTTCCTCTGCAATAGTTGGGCCTCGACCTCTCACGTTATTCTGGCCATTGTTTCCGAATTGGGGCTGCACCCTGGGCATCAGAAATGGGGCGCCCCGAAGTGGAAATTCGCACAATAGGAAGATGGAACTCCCAAGCCCAAGCATCGATCGCATTATGTCTGTCTGAGATTTCAGCAGTTGGCTGGGGTAACAAAATGCCGTGTAGTTCGCAAACACGCCTGTCTCAGCAGAGGGCTGGGGAAAAATTACACTCATAGGCCTAACGTTCCATCTACAAATCGTCATGGCTGGGGCAACACGGCAGGCAATACTGTCCAAAAATAATTACGAATACCCTGTTGTACCTCACCATCGGGCTGGAGCAGTTTACGGAAAACACTATATAACTCTGGGATTTTTCTTCTCTGAAAACCTGCCTGGGAGCAACAGGCGGGGGCATCTCAACATTCTCCTCGATACGGTTCACAGGGTAACTCCACTGATGAGAAACAGGCTTGTCAGCAGATGGCTGGGGCAGTTTTTCAGCAACAAGGTCTTTAATTATCTATTATTTTGGAATTTCCAGTACATTACCAAAGGATCCAATACGTAAATAAAATACGAGTATGGTAACTCCGAAAATGACAGACATGAGGCCATAGTTGATTCTACTTTTCGTTTTTTTATTGGAACATTGTCAAGAATGAATTAGCCCAAGTCCAAAAGGGTGACAAACTTAACAGAAATCAATACAAGATAAATTTAATCTAGTTACATTATTTTTATATAAATCACAGGTTTAGATTAAGACATGCTTTAAATTATCTTTCACATAAACGTTCGGTATACGCTTCTGATAAGATGACCCTTGAAAACGACAAATAGTTAAAACGTTTCAAGTGTGTACGGTAAGCTTGAAAATTACGCTTGCTGAGTAGATGGTTACAGTAAATGTACACCTAGGTCGTATATCCTTTCTCATACTATATTCATAAGGCCGGCCTTGTTTCCTACGTTATGTGCAGCCCCGTCGGGGTCAGTGGCGCTACGGCACCTGCCGCTTGGCTTGTTTGCACTTGTTAAGAACTTTTACTATGGAAATTAATTTAAGGGACCGATCGTGTGCGACGGCCCCTTGGCCTTTTGTCGTAATAAAACACGACCGAATCACATGTACTATATCAGATTATGTGTTACTTTGTTGCGTACAGTGTAGGCCTATTGAGTGTGGTGGTCAAGAGTGGGCAGGTCCACATATTTAATTCTTAGACCAGTAGACACAAATTATGTCACTACATTCGTCAAACTTTATTTATGGAGGCTTTGGCCATTGGCCTTTCAAGCCTGTTTTAAACACTGTGTTGAGAGCATACAAGGAGCTTTCATTTTTACTTTCTGAATTGTAATTATATCACATGTACTTTTCTTGTCTCGCATTTTCGTATATTTTATTTCACTGAATTATCTTATTATTTCATTTCATAACTTTCACTCAGCCAGCATTCCCAGGCTTCTATACAATTGTTGAATAATTGTTGATTATTCATTTTTCATTCATGATAAAAGGTGATATACTTAATGTAAGACACACCTCATTTTTAATTACCTCGTTTTAATTGGCTGGTTTTAACTTTGATTTTATTGGTCGGTTTTTCTTCTATTATACTTCTGTAAATATTGTAAACATATATCGATGGTTGAGATTTTCTCATCAGTATTTTTGAAAATGATGAAATAGATCGAAACATTCTCAAAATGTCTGTCTCTTCTTTTTGTTTTATTTAAGACTAATTAGTGGATCCTCTGGTTTTTGATTTAGGCCTATATATAGGCCTATATATA